CCGCCACATGCATCCAGGCAAATCCTGGGGCGAGGTCCCACTAGCAAAGAGGATTGGATTGAACGCCTGAATCTGGACGCGTTTGTGGAAAGTTGGACAGAATCGAGATTGAACTGCTTTTCTGCATTTGTGCTGAAACCACTTCCAGATTCAGGCGCTCGATCCATTGGCAATCCTCTTTGCTAGTGGGAGCCCAACGCATTGTCAGACCGTTCGAACCGGTTGGATGGACCCGGCTGCAATTACGGCAGCTCGTGGACGTATCCAACCGCACTTACGTCCGGATTCCAGACAAAGAAGTCCGAGTGTGGGCACGCCCTGACGACAATTACTAGAATCAGAAGCTGTGCATGCCACGTGTCTTCCCCGATGGCCGCCGCGGTGGAACGGGGACGCCACACTGGACGGATCCCTTTCGTTTTTCTGCTATGTCCGGGCAGGTCCCACTACCGTCTTCCCCCGAACATAACGCACCCTGAAAAGGAAGGTATACAAGGTATGTTTCCGGCCAGATACAGTCAGAATGAGGGTGCGTTGTGATCTAGCGAAGAGGATTGGAATGTGGAGAACGTGGCCATAGGGCCTCGCTGCATTACTCTCGACATGCACAAAAGACAAAAAGCATGGCGGCGCATTTTTCCATATTCTAGTGGAAGATTCAGTCTCGTTTTGCACATTTTCGAGAGAAGTGCGACGTTCTTTAAGAACGAAAAAAAACGAGAAGTGCGGCGAGGCCCATATTCTGTGCAGCAAAAAATGCAGAAAAGCATTGAAAAAAAAAAAAAAAGAGCAAAAAAGCGAAAAAGCGAAAAAGCAAAGAAGCAGATCAGCAGAGAAGCAAAACCGCAAAAAACCAAAAACGCAGCAAAGAAAAAAAACAATGAAAAAAAAAAAAAAAAAAAAAAAAGCAAAAAAGCAGACCGATGGCGATTTTCTCCAACTCGCCTCAAACACGCCCAGATTCAGGTGGCAGGTCCGATCAGGAGTCACGTCCGACCCTCTTTGGGGTTGGGACCCCGGCCCGTGGGGAAGAAGGGCAGACAAGAAAGGAAATGGGGGGTGCACAGTGACCAGTCAGAGGAGAAAAGTCCCCAAAAAAAGGAAGAAAAGAAGAAGAAGAGAAAGGCTGGTAGATTCGTTAGTCCTGTCAGGACTGACTTCTTTCTTCTTCTTGGGGGTAAATGATGGCCCTTGCGTAGCCATGGCCTTCCGGAAATTGTCTGCGGCCTTTCGGCATCTGAGGGGGGTTGGAATGAGTTTCAACTTGAACCGGCAAAAGTCTCCATACCTGGCGGGGTCCCGCTACCGTCTTCACCCGAATAGAACGCCCGGTCATATAGCTGTATTTCGCACAACTTTCCGTCCGGATGCGGCGATAATGACCGGGCGTTCTATTCGGGTGAAGACGGTAGGAAAGAGGATTAGGGTCAGATCCCACCACCCTGGATTAGTCATTTTTCACCCTCGATTACGAAGACCAACGGTCAGAAATGAACAATAGGGGCTAGTGGGATCTGGCCCTTAGATAGAAAAACTCAAGATATCCCAGTCGCGATTTTTCTCAGCAAACACTGTCCAGATTCAGGCATTATATCCGGTCGTCTTGCCCCGAAAGATCTCCCCCGGGGGGGGGAGGAGGGGGGCGACGGGGACCACACGGTTTGCTTCGGGGATGGAGTGTTTTTTTTTTTTTTGGGTTTTGTTTGTTTTTTTTTTGGGGGGGGATGGAGTTTTAAATTACTACTAGCTTTCCCATTCGGTTTCACGGAGATGGCTTACCCTTTTCATCTTCCCGCACCCCGAGAACATTGAGGAAGAAATATGTGAGTGGAGAGAGAAATATGTGGCTGGAGCCCGATGAGGAGATTGAGGAGAAGGCAAAAAATATAAAGAAATGGCTTCCCG